ACTGGTAGTAGCCTAAAGCAAAGTACGGTAGAGGTGCAGAATGTTTAGTGGACCTGCTTTACTTTGAGTGTCTTAATATGAGATGTAATTTCCTTCAAAATCTATAATCTTATTTAATTGGTCTTGTTTTGTGGCAGTGTGCTCTGTTATTAGGTTTTAGAGAGATTCTTTATTAAGCTTTCATGATATCATTGATGTGAGGCTCAATGTTAGGACACTGAAGGGCATGTCCATCTGCCACAGAGTAAAAATGGGCTATTAAAGACGAGGGCGATTGGGTGCTTGGCCTTAACCAAAGTGACTCGTGCTTTGTTCCGTTTGACATTGGAAAATGCTGAGAAAGGAACAGCCATTTTAGACCTAGTTTCCATGGACAACACAAATGAATGGTCCAACCTAGAAAATATTAGCAACTCAACTTTGGACTTACTGGATAATCCTTCCAGATTTAGGAACGGTCAGTTGAGACAAACAACCCTCTCATTGGTGGATTACTCAGTGGAAAGGGACACAATTTAAGTGGCAGGTGCCCATCTGTAGACTGTAGCACTTTTAATTACAAATGAATCTCTTAGACGGGCACGCAGTATTGTTCTTATCTTTTTCCTCAAAGATTTAACCGGAATGATTGCTTGCTGCGGTCAAAATAAACCATTAAAATCTAATTGACTTGTTTACTCTGAGCATTTATACTGAGTCAGCTCATTAGCCAATTTAAATGTATACCGGTATAACTTTATGTAACGGCTCATGGCACCTGCTCATTACGTTTGTAATAAAGCAGCTTTCAGTATAGAAGGAATTTGAATGGTTTGAAAGTGTGGTTGACCTGCATGAAAGCGCAGACATAAGTTGTGTTAAATGTGCTGAAACTGAGATGTGATGTCACAAGCTCTTGCTGTGAACTGTTCCCGGTCACAGTGAGGTGATATGATGTTGCTCCCATTTGCTTCAAACTCACCCTTTGGTGACATATTTCAGTTTTTATTCAGTCTTTTGAAGGGCGTTTGTGTTGGTGGGTGAGTGCACAGACGGCCATCATCCCTGGGAGCTTGCAAATTCAGTGTGGGAGGATCACCCTCTCTTTGTAGTGCTGCAGTGAGAATTCCTCCCCTGCTGTTGAATCACTGTGATCTAAATTGGCCTGTCTAAATTGTCGCTTGTTCTGGTTTAAGATCTTTTACCTCATTGTTTATTAATCATACACATTGCCTTAGGAGACTTTCTGCGTTAAATGTTGTTTCTTTGGTACAGTTCTTTGTGTGAAATGTTACTGCAGTAGGACTGGATATTGGGGATGTGGAATGATAGCATCTGTAATCTGGGAGTTAAATGTAAGCTTGAGCTAAATAATACATCTTTAATTTATTAATAATGCATGAGACATTGCCACCCAATATGTAAAGTATGATAACATAAAACAAACCCAGGCATCAGGACTTATGTTTTTGGATTCATTTTTTTATAATGACTGGCTAACTTAAACATTATCTGATTGCTTTATGTCTCTTATTGGTTCCATGTTTTTCTAAGCAGTATGGTTTTATGCTCAGGTTTATTTCCACGGTTTTATGTAGCAATAACTGTTTTAAGTTCTAAGATGGTGGCAATGAGCTAGCTTGCGTTAATATTGCAGGTGTCACATGGCATTGCTAAAAAAGAACATTATTTTGTGTATTTGGTATAATGAAATGTGTTTATGGAGTTTAAGTTTAAAAAAACACATTATTTTCCACATACTGTACATTATTGTTTCTCCTCTATGCCCCGCCTTTCTGAAACACGTCGATTTTTACAAAGCTCATCGTTCTGAAAAGCGAGGTGTGCTCTGATTGGCCAGCTATCCAGTGCGTTGTGATTGGCCAAATACCTCAAGTGTGAGACAGAAATGTTATGCCCCTTAACATACTGTGATGCCGTGTCCGGCCGGAGCGACGAGACAAAACCAGTAAAACCCATTATAAACGAGGCATTTGTTGCATCCAGTGGGGACATAATTACTGATTATAATGAATGGCTTATACTGTCTTTTTACGCGTTGCGTTGCATATCGTGCTGCGTAAACATAAAACCACGTCTGCATTTGTGATCGGACAAACAACAAGCCTACTCTACACTGCTCAAAGACTTTAGTCTTTGCAACTTTAGGGATCTTATCTATTCACAAATAGCTTGTAACACTCCAAAGAGAAAGGAAAACTTGAAATCACATCATATGACCCCTTTAAAATAGAGATTACGAGCTGTACGGGAGACATAAAAGTAGCACACTCTTGTTGCCGCTATGGACAATGTCTACAATTTAGCGGTCATTATAAAAAGTACTTTATCCTAATTTTCAGGAATTGCAAATGTATAATTTTTTATGAATTACTATAATTTTAATCATAATTAACTTATAGGTTATTGGGCATGTCTTGAGGTTAAATGGACAATTGTTCATTTTATATGCAGTCACTGTAGTACACAATATTAAGTTTTCAAATGAAAAATTCAACCACTCTTTTTAACAGGATTTCTTCAAAAGGCTGAATAATATTTAGAGCAAAAAGATTTATCATAGGCTTAATTAACAGCATACTATCTGGCTCTGCTCATGTAACTTTGGAAGGCCTTGAGTACTTTTATTTGTTAATAATCATTTGAATATCTTATTCTAATGTTAAATGAATTACACATGAAACAGGTCACATTGTGCATTTTGTTCCATTAAAAATGACCTACTATATACACTTTGATTTGAAAGATGACAACATGAATACTTTAGATCTATTTATGTACCATCAAATGTTATGATTAGATGCATGTTTTCAAATCCACCCATAAGCTGTCTGTTAATCATCTGGTTAACTAATTCTGACGGTCTAGACAGAGTTTAAAAAGTCATTTTTATCACCTACATTTGTTAATTCTCTGAGTTCTGCCTCTTCCTAAGATTTTCATCAAACAACAACAAAGCACACAATGCATTCATTACAAAGCCAATAGACCCATGTAGCTCTGGGCATTGTGCCTAAGGGAGAGCAACTGCAGTGCCCGAGACTTTCATACCTCCATCTTTTCTTTGTACTTTGTCACTTTGCAAAGGGCAGCAGGGTTGGAGCTACTAGTTTCCGTGGCAGCCCGTATTATTTGAATTCAGTGCATCCTGGTGAAATCTGTCTCCCCAGTCTTCACATATGTTGTACTTTCACTTCTGTACTTCCTTCTCATACCATCTGGCTCATAGAAGCAAGGCTGGGCTTAGGCCAGCTTGGTCCAAACCCCAGTCGTGCTGCGTTCAGCAGCTCTTTGATTATCCCACTAATTCCTCAATATACCCTGCCCTTATAACATTCTTTATACAACTGAAAACACAGGATAAATGTGTTTGGACTGGACTTTTGAGATGATATAAAGACTTGTGTTGCATTTCTGTCATTTGATTTTTTTTCTTATTAGCCTGGATATCCTCTTATCGTAATTTACACTTGAAACTCTAAACCCCTTACTTGTGACCGTAATCCAAACATCCATGATGTCTCATTAACAGGATTCTTGCAGGACTGTCCTTGAAATACATTGCACTAAGGTTGTCTTTTAGCTGTGGATATGCTGTTCTGTACATCTTGGGAGTCCTTTTCTAAATGAATGAATATTGATGTGAGTGATAGCTATGCCTTTCAGTGTTACTCCTGCTGCAGGGGCATTCAAACATTAATCAATCATACGGCTGCTATAATTGACTTTCAAATGAACAAATCAACGCAATGTTGTTAAGGAACATGCTTTAAAGGATTACGCTCTGGCTACTGTTCGTTTCAGTGAGTTATGGTTTAGCATTTAGCCCTATTCCCGAATAAGTTTTCCTAAATCATTTAGATGAGTGTTTCCTTTTTTTTCAGAATACTGGTCTGGCATAAAGTTTTTGGGAGCAACTAATTAAGTAGCAAACCTTTTCTAGTGAAGCTTTTACCAACAGTCATATTGTATTTTGAATGTCAAATTGTATTGCACATGCAAATTCATCGTCAAGTGAGCTCTTTCTCAAATGTAGTACTGGAAAGCCTGATTTGTTCTACTAAATCATTTCATCCTAAACAACTTTCACTCATATGTAGCGCTGGAAGGTCTGGAAGGTAAATTTTACATTGTAGTAAATTGGTTCATCCTGAAGTGATTCATTTTAGTGAATCGGTTCATCTTGAAGTGCAAATCAGTTATTTATTCAGGTGAATCAGTTCAGGCAGTACATGAACAGAATAAAAAAAAAATTACTAATTCAAATTCTTTCATGTCGTTCCAAGCTTCTTTATAGCAGCATATTTAGTTTCTTACTGTGTTTTTGATTAAATTATATACTAGATTAAGTTATAACTAAGGAATATTCTTATTTTATTATTATATTTATTGTACATTTATTAAATCAAATTTGATGTTATCACCCTATTTATCCATTCATTCAAACTTTCATTGTTTTGTTTAAGAAAAGTACAGCTTTGATTAAATTATAATCATTAAATTTTATATCTTATAGTTATATAATTAAAAAAGATTTTGCCCTTCATTGTAGTTAGTAGTTTTGCTAACTACTATTACAAAAAATTAGCTTGAATGTAGTTTAACTACTTAAAATTATTGTAGTAGTAACTTAACACTTTTTGAAAAGCCGATAGAAAGCACAGTCATTTCTGTTAAAGGGATAGTTCACCCAAAAATGAAAATTCTGTCATTAATTACTCACCCTCATGTCGTTTCAAACCCATAAGACCTTCGTTCATCTTCGGAACACAAATTAAGATATTTTTGATGGAATCTGAGAGCTGTCTGACCCTGCATATTCTGTCTTTTCGCTTTCTGTATGAGTTTCTTTCGTTACAGGATGACCTTCAGCTAGTGTGTATCTTTATGCTGCATCTGTTTTAGATGATTTACAAATCGTGAATAGACTCAATGAGTGTAGTCACAATAGATATTTGTAACTTAATATCAACAAGAAAAACCATATGTATTTCTTTCAGGTCAAAGGACTCTGCACCACAAAAGTGATGTTCTTGAAACGGTTGTATTGGTGAACCCATCAGAAGATACCGTTATCTCTGAGGTAAGTTATTTAAAGAAAAACTCTATGGGCAAGATGCTGTATGTTTCTAATAAAGATAAAAAATAGGTTTGATGTTAGACTGAATAACCTTGTTGAAGTATAACCTTGCTGCAAACAGACTGACTCTAATAGACTAATGTGTTTTAAATGCTCTGTTTGTCTCTGATTATGTCCTAGATCCATTGTCTTGTATCTGACCCAGCTGTGCACAAGCTACTGGTCCTGAGTGGGCAGAGTTCTGACCAAGGTGACCTGGTTCTCCAAACTGGAGTGTTTAGTCATCAAACCTTCTCACGTGTGTTTGCTGATCCTGGGGTAAGTTTAGATAATATAACTGTATATATATACAGACGTGAGTACACCCCTCACATTTTTGTAAATATTTTATTATATCTTTTCATGTGACAACACTGAAGAAATGACACTTTGCTACAATGTAAAGTAGTGAGTGAACAGCTTGTATAACAGTGTAAATTTGCTGTCCTCTCAAAATAACCCATATTGGTGCTGATAATCTTCCTGGAATCAATGGACTACTTCAAAGGAAGGTTGCAGAACAGGAGGAAGAACAGTCTCAAGGCTCAACCACCTACAGTGATTGGATGAAGAACCTGATATCACCCGAGCTCGGAGTTGTGTTCTTCAATGTACCTGAGAAGCTTCGCACATCAGAATCAAATTTGAAAGTTAAGCGAAGCATTGAGGAAGCCTCTCTTACATTGCAATACCTCAACAAGCTAGGAATTAAGCCTGAGCCTCTTTTTCGAGTGGTTAGCAATACCATCGAGCCCATCACTCTTTTTCATAAGATGGGTGTGGGCAGGTTAGACATGTTTGTCCTTTACCCATATTGGTGCTGATAATCTTCCTGGAATCAATGGACTACTTCAAAGGAAAGTTGCAGAACAGGAGGAAGAACAGTCTCAAGGCTCAACCACCTACAGTGATTGGATGAAGAACCTGATATCGCCCGAGCTCGGAGTTGTGTTCTTCAATGTACCTGAGAAGCTTCGCACATCAGAATCAAATTTGAAAGTGAAGCGAAGCATTGAGGAAGCCTCTCTTACATTGCAATACCTCAACAAGCTAGGAATTAAGCCTGAGCCTCTTTTTCGAGTGGTTAGCAATACCATCGAGCCCATCACTCTTTTTCATAAGATGGGTGTGGGCAGGTTAGACATGTTTGTCCTGAACCCTGTGAAGGACAGTAAGGAAATGCAGTTCCTCATGCAGAAGTGGGCAGGTAACAGCAAGGCCAAGACAGGGATAGTGCTTCCCAATGGAAAAGAGGGAGAAATATCTGTCCCGTATTTGACATCTATTACTGCTCTCGTTGTATGGCTCCCTGCCAACCCTACAGAAAAAATTATCAGAGTTTTGTTTCCAGGAAATGCACCGCAGAACAAAATCCACCAGTATATTTGCAGCGCCATTAGCTGAGGAGGAACATGTTTCTTCAGCAACGTCTATAACGGAGTATGACAAACTGTCTTCTTTACCCACTTCCATTGCAGAAGATCAGTCAGTGGCATCCGCCACAGCACCTCAGACCGAAGACACTGGAAAAAGTTCCCTAGTCTTGGACACAGTTCAACCGGTTACCCAGACTGAGGCCACCCAAGGAAAAGACTACCTACATTCAGCTGGAACCATCTCACCAACATCCTCCTTGGAGGAAGACAAGTGTTTCAAATCATCTCCCTCTGAGGAATCTCCACCACTTCCCTTAGAAGGCAAAACCGAGGGAATTGAGATGGCCGCCCATTACGGTGATGAAGAGGAGGATGAATATGAGGATAAAACACCAAATGTTGACATTTCACTTGGAAAGTTACAAGAAGCATATGCCTCACTTGATAAACTTGAACACAAGGAGAAAGAAATGGACAAACCCAAAAGTCCCGTGCCTTTAGTTCCTGATACTTCATCTGTTGAAAAATCCTCACCACCTGAGATGGAGAAGGTATCAGTATCACATTCTAGGGAGGACTCATCTTTTGAAGCACAAACAATACTCTCCTCCCCATCGCACAGTGTTTCTAAGCTTCCTGTTACTGAAGCTAGTGTTTTTCCAGATGTGGAAGACCGATGCATTAGCCCTGATGACAGCACTGTAAAAATGGCTTCTCCTACACATTCTGGGCCACCTAGTGCATCTCACTCTCCCCTCAGAATGTCACCTGTGGAAGGGAAGGATAAAGTTCTCCTTAAAGAGACTCATCAAGAACCAGGAGTGCCACTTAGCCCCGCTGAAATTAAATCTGAAAAGGAGAGTGCAAAACAAAAACCTGGTGTTTTAGATGAGAAAGAAATACCTCAAGCAGAGGAGGAAGAAAAGAAGAGAATCCAGGAAGCAACCTCTGTACCATCTCCACTTGTTGACGACTTGTCAGCTAAAAAAGAAAGTCTACCAGTTCTACCATTAAAAGAAATAAGTGATACAAAGGTAATGCCTGATCCAAGTGTTGAGAAGAAGGGCAAAGTTGAAGAGGACTTAAAAGAGAGCAGCAAGGCTGTAATTCTTGAGGGTAAAGCTAACAAGTTATCTGATGATCATGACGTTGAAGAAACTTGTGATTTAAAATCGTCCACAGACGAAGAGAAAAAAGAGGAGAAAGAAAAGGAGGGTGAGAGAGATGATGCTGAAGGGAAGCATAAGGAGAACGACCAATTATTAAAGTATCCAGAGGTTACAGATAAAGGTGATGTAATATCAGAACCAAAAAAAGCAGCATTGCCATCTAAAGAGGATTTTGATAAGAAAAATGCAAATGAAGAAGAGTTTCAAGATAAGAGTTTTCCAGCAGTTCTGGAATGTTCCAAGATAGAAAAACAGGAGAAACAAGAAGAAATTCAGTCAGAGAAAGCCAAAATATCATCTAATTTAGACAAAGAATCCAAAGAGAAAGATCTGACTGATATATCTTGTCAGTCCATAGAAAGCCCAGACATCATAGCAGAAACATCAACATCTCATGAATTAGCCAAAAAATATATGGAGACACAAGACACTGTAGAGACAGATATGACAACTAAACCGGAAAAGCAGAAATCTGAATCAACTGATATTACACATGAACAAGTGGCTTTGGAGGAAACTGATTCATCTGTCTGTATAAGCCCATTTAAGGAAGACACAGATGGCCTCAATTCTCAAATACAACAGTTAAGTGAAAAAACAGATGTTACCTTGAAAGATGAAGAAAAGTTAGAAAGTAAAAGTGCGGCTGGACTGATATATGAGAAAATGATTCCAGCTGACAAAGAACATGATGACTCTAAGGATACAAATGTAGAGAAAGTAAAATCTGTGATGCAAGAGCAAATTTCCCTCTCAAAACCAGATGTTCAGTCTACAGAGATGCATGTAGAAGTGTCCATTATGGAGAAGGATATGTCTACTAAAGATGATCAAGAATCTAAAGGGATGTCAGCGCAAGAGATGAAATCTCATATATTAGAGGCAACTCCAGGTGAGACTGAAATTACTGGTAAACAAGATGAAGACTTGAAGGAGAAGCTATTGGAAGAAAATCAAACCAAACAACATTTAGAAAAAGCAGATGTATCATACAAAGAAGAGCCTCAAATAACACATTCCGTAATTTCACAATACACAGATGAAACTAGCCAAGATATGGAAACTGTAGAGGAAACTATATCCAAAACACAAATTTCCATTTCAGACAAAATGGATTCCTCACCAATATTCGTCCCGGAACCTAAAGATGAACAACCAGAATTGAGCCAATGTCAAGCTTTCCTGTCTGAATCTGAGAAATCAGATTTGACTTCTAAAGATGATCAGGACCAGAAAAACAAAGAGTTAGTGAAGCTAACTAGCAAACCAGATGAAGAGTCTATAGAATGTCAGACTTATGAAAAAACAGATAAGCTTACTATCTCTAAATCTGCGCTTGATTCTGAAGTGAAGAGTGAACCCCAGCAAATAACACCAGAAAAAGAAGATATGCAAGCTAAAGCGGATGAAATAAGCAAAGGCATATTTGTCAAATCTGAACAACCAGTTGAGTTTGAAGACATTTCCCCAAAACCGTATGAATCTAAAGATAAGTGTGTGGAGGATACTCAACTTCAGATATCTACAGATCAATCAGTATCTGAGAGTGCCGCTGCTAAAAGCGACCAACAGTATGAAGAAAAACACACTGAAGAGATTGTAACTAAAGTACCTCAACCAAGTATGGCAACGGATGTGCCATCTGACACAAAACAAGAACCTAAGGCAATATCTGTGGAAGAAAGGCCAGAACAGATTCCAACAGAATCAAAAACTGTGGATTCTAAATCAGAACACGATACTGTAGACACACTGAAGAAAAGAGATCTTCCCATTGCAGAAGATAAAACAACTGATTCAAACGTAAGCAAAGAGCCTGAGGAGAAAATAATGATAGAAGATGCATCAAAATTGGTGTCAGTTGACACCAAAATGGGCTTGGGAGGCAAACAGAAATCTTTGGTAGAATCTTTAGAACAAATGTTTGACACCTCAGATCTGAGTTGTGAAGAAAAAGTGGAATTGAAAGATGAACCTAAAGGAGATATCAAACAAGACATATCATTACATGAAACAGATACTTTCTCACCGTCAGACATTGGATTCAAATTAAATTTAGATTATAAAGAAAAATTCATTGAAGAAGCCTCCTCAACTGTGGACAAAACAAAAGACACCAAGTCAACATTTGAAACTACATTTCCAACCAAATTTTCAGATGAAGATGAAAGCACTGAGGAGGATGAAGGAGATGCTGTTTGTATGGGAGGGGCTGGTTCAAGACCATTATCAGTGGAACTTTGGAAGTCTGAGGAACCAATGGCAAGCAGTTCTGCACAACCACCTGAGACAAGTATGAAAAAAGAGGAAATTGTGGTCCATTTAAATGAAAAAGTGTTGACTAGAGATTCCAGTGGAATATCACCTGAACCAGAGGAGTTTAAGGTGGATACCACATCACTTACACCCTCTACTACAGATACAAGTACTAAAGCTGTCTCAGAGACTCTAACTGAGAGCAAACCAACAAGTATCACACTGCCCAGCTCTGACAGTCAGGCAAGTGAGGATGACCAACATGAAACATTGCTCTCTTCAAAGGAAGCTGCAAAACCTGAGAAGGAGGCTGAGAGGGAAAGGGAAGGAGAACGAGAGGTTGCCTCTCCAGGGTTAGAGTTACATTCTGATTTTCAAAAGACTGGCAGTGCAGATGAGAAATGTGCTGAAAAGACTGATAGCGAGAGAATGAAATCTGATGACAAGATGACTTATGAAGTGGAAAAAGAAAGCTTTGAAGCCTCTAAATATGAGCCGTATGAAAAGCCCATTTCAAAAGACACTGAGAGAGGAAGAGAGGAAGAGGACCAGTACCCTAGTCTGGATAGAGATTTAGATGACAATAGAAAAACAAGTCAGGCCACTTTGCTTGGAGCTGCTTGTTCAGTAGAGGAACAAAGTGATGATGAGCCAGTGTCTTTCAGCAAGGTTGATTACCAGACTTCAAGTATTCACATCAGCCACAGTGCCTACTCAGAGCAAGACAATAAGGAGCAATACCAAGAGGAAGAATTGGTTAGAGAAGAGAGACCAGATCTTTTTGTTGACAATAGTTTTACATATGAAAGAAAAGCCACTTCGGCAGCAGGTTCAAGCTTGTTTGCCTCTAGTGATTTGCAAGACAAATCAGAGAAATTGGAGAGAGAAGAGAAGGAGAAGGAGAAAGAGGACACACATTCTCCTCTTCAAGGAAAAGATGATGGAAGTCATGTTAAATTGTCAGATAAAGAGCCATGTACATCTGCTTCCAGCCTTTCAAATCCTGATACACAAGAGAAAGACCATAAAACAGAAGAAACATTGGCAATGCCTCATTCAGAGGACCTGGACACGACCAAACCCCATGTGACTGAAGCTTCCCCTCCACAAGGGATTCTTACATCATCACAGGATAAAAATCTTCAGAGCCTAACAACTTCATCAACATGTGCTTCCGATGAGAACAAAATGGAGAGTCCAATCTCAAGTGATAGTAACAAAGATAAAACCAAACTGGATTCAGCTGAAAGCCAAGGTGACCCGTTTTCTTCTGGTCGATACTCACCACCTGAAAAGAACATGCTTGCTGCCAGGTTATCACCTGAAGATCCCACCACTGCCACTCCTGATTCTTCAGGGCAGTCCATGAAAGTTGATGACAATGTTCTTGCACTTGAGTGCACTGGCAAAACTGATTATCTTTCCAGCAAGTCATTGATTGTGAGTGCGGAGACTGAGGAATGCTTTGTCAGAAGCCAAAAAATATTTGCAGAAGAAGAGGATGACTATGAGGATGAGGAAGATGAAGAGGAAGATGCAAGTGACTTGGATATTGAAAAGGGTGCCAGAGAGATGTCTGAGAAAGAGTCCAAAGTAGCATTTGATACCATGACTGCATCTAACCCACTTGAAACAAAACAAGAAGATACTACTGGTCCCTTAGCATCTGGAGCAACTGCAGAAGATCTACAGACAGAAACAATTGGTGATTCATCCTCAAAAAAGTCCCCCACAACAGAGCCTTTATCAGTACCTCCAAGGTGACCCGTTTTCTTCTGGTCGATACTCACCACCTGAAAAGGACATGCTTGCTGCCAGGTTATCACCTGAAGATCCCAGCACTGCCACTCCTGATTCTTCAGGGCAGTCCATGAAAGTTGATGACAATGTTCTTGCACTTGAGTGCACTGGCAAAACTGATTCTCTTTCCAGCAAGTCATTGATTGTGAGTGCGGAGACTGAGGAATGCTTTGTCAGAAGCCAAAAAATATTTGCAGAAGAAGAGGATGACTATGAGGATGAGGAAGATGAAGAGGAAGATGCAAGTGACTTGGATATTGAAAAGGGTGCCAGAGAGATGTCTGAGAAAGAGTCCAAAGTAGCATTTGATACCATGACTGCATCTAAACCACTTGAAACAAAACAAGAAGATACTACTGGTCCCTTAGCATCTGGAGCAACTGCAGAAGATCTACAGACAGAAACAATTGGTGATTCATCCTCAAAAAAGTCCCCCACAACAGAGCCTTTATCAGTACCTGGAGAGCACAAGGATGTAATCAGCAAGGAGGATGAACAGTCCAAGAAACAAGATACTAGTTCAGTCCAATATGACGTACCCAAGCCCAGCGATGAAAAACATGAACCACAAAAGACATCTGATAAAAAGCCTGAAGTGACTGAATCCCTAACTGTTGCTCAAGCAGCAATGTCTGATGCAACTTACTCATCATCTTCATCCTTTAGTTACTCTTCTTCAACATCTGCCTCATATTCAACGGGTCAGCACCTTGGAGAATGCCTAGAAACACTGATTAATATTCCTAGTGTCCAACTAAGATCAGATGGAGACAGTATATCATATGAGTACTCATCGTTAAAAGAGGAAGAGTCGCCCATTATGGATTTACCATGTTTAAAAAAAGACGAATACATGGAAGTCTCAGAGCGATTGACACCTGCTACAACAACATCTGAATCAATATCTAGTCTTGCCAGGTTTTCTCCTCTCAGTCCCCTGGAGGAATCCAAATCGTTTCTTCAAGATCAAACATCATCAGCAGAGGAAAAGTCAGAGGAGGATATGTCAAGCATTAAATCTGACAAGGATCATGTCTCTCATCCTAAACATGTAGCAGAGCCACATTCCTCAAAATCACCAGAATCAGCAACTTCTGAGCATGCAACTCATCCAATTGTGGTGGCATCTGCAACATCTCTCAAATTTGACATTGCACCTTTGGAGAAGGCTGACTCTGCAGACAAACAGTCACAGGAAAAATCCTCTGATGATGAGCCTGAGGACAACAAAAGCATTTTTGAGGAGGGAACCTTGCCATGCAGAATTGAATGTGAAAGATCTTCACCTACTGAAAAATTAAGCACAGCATCTTTACCAGAGCAACATGCTGATGTAAAACCCTCAACAACAATATTACATTCATTTGATCTGCAAACCATAGATGGGCCAACAGAAATCACAAGTTCTCAGAAGGTGCCAGTCACAACATGTGGGACTCTCAGTACTAACACACAAAGTGAACAAAGTATGAAGCAAGAAGAGGCAGAGAAGTCTAAGGAAATTATAGACTTGCCTGAAAAAGTACAGGAGCGGGTTGAAATGAAAGAAGCAAAAGTGAGCAAGATGGAATATGAAGAGAAGCGTGAGACAGATGAGAAAGAGGGAGTACAACATAAAACAATTGAGGAAGAACAGATACAACCTGAAAAGATGGTCGAAGTGAGGTCAGAAAAGATGGGAGAGAGCCTAGATAATGGCAAGAAGTCAGAGCAGCAGAGCGATAGTGAAGGGAAAACCGAGCAGTCAAAAACAAAGAAAGAAGTAGAACAAATTGAAAGAATTGTAGAAAAGGAATGTAAAGAAAAAATGGAAGAGAAGAAAGCGCAAACAGAAGAAGAAGTGATGGAAAAAGACAGCAAAAAAACAGATACAGTTGAGTCTAGCCAGCATAGTGCCCTTGCATCCACTATACAGCATGAGGATTTTGAATGTCTAAAGGCTCCATCTGGCTATGGGGAAGATGTTTATGAGGGTTTAAAGGAGGAAAAGGGGGGTGAAGAGGAGGAAGAGAAGTATGATTCAAAAGAACGTCCACCCACTCTACTATCAGGAGCACGGGCTTGTTACCCTGAGGTCTCCAAGAAGTCCGATGAGGGATTAACACGACCCTCTGATCTCGGTATGGAGGCCATGTCCTCACATTCACCTTCGCTCTTCAAACACCGCAAAGGAGATATCTCTCCATCCTTTATAAATCCAAGTCCACAGGAACTATCAAGTGAGGACGGAGAGGAAGATGCCAGAAGCGATCATTCAAGAGATGATGATGGTGATGAGCGTGAGCAGCACTCTGTCAAAAGGAGATCTCACAAGCAGCAGCATTGTCATCCCCACAGTCACCATGAAGATGGTAAGGAGGGATCGCACAGCATTCAGAGTGGTACAGCGACTGGGCATGGCATTATGCTAGCAGGGGAGGAAACTCCTCCTACATCTTTGAGCGAGTCAGTCCCATCTCAGTCTGACTCAGATGTTCCTCCAGAGACTGAGGAATGTCCTTCAATTACAGCAGAAGGGAACCTTGATTCTGATGAAGATGCAGAACATTTACCTGTGGACAAAATGTCTGCAGCTGGTGGCAACGGAGGAAGTCATCATTCCTCCTCCCCGAGGAGTCACGATCCCCCTCCCATCCCAATGAAAGACCATCTTCCTCACCCACCACACCCTGATGTGTGCATGGTGGACCCAGAGGCCCTTCTTAATGGCCAGACCCACACAGAACGACCAATGAAGAAGGACCTTAAAACAAATAGAGGCTTGAGGAAGACACTAGGAAAGTCTGCATCGCCGGCACGTAAGGGAGATGCAAAAAGCAGGAGATCTACTACCCCTGTGAAGCAGACATCCAAAGACTCCTCACCTCATGATCTTAAAAGAAAAGATTCAGAGAAGACTTTTCGTTTGTCCAAAATGTCTGAGACACAGGGATCCAGGGGAGACATCTACAACCCAGGAAGAGGATTGGCCAATGGCGTTAAGAGTAATGCAGGTACAAACATCGGGGATGCATGACACATTAGTACCATATTGGTTTTTGAGTGATATTACAGATTTTAATAATTTATCAGCCAATATTGGATATTTAATTGCGCATGCTAATTTACCTTTATTCACATTTAGATTATCTTCACTGTCATGTAACACTCTTCAAATTAACTCTTCAAACTAAATTTTATACTGTTAAAATTAATCTTTGCTGTTAAAAGTAAAATGAACAATTTTTTCATACTGTACATTATAATGTTGTGATACCTAAATTCACTTGTAGCATTTAAAATAACAGATTTTAGTTTTTAGTGCTTTGTTATTAATTTATTTAGACAAAATAGTGCAGATTTTTAAATGTTGTCTATTTATTGGCAATCAACCATAACATGGAAGAAATACTGTATATCAGTATAAGCCAGACAATGCAAATAACCAATGGTATATTCTTTTAGGCTCCAACCTGAAATCCAGCGCTGGGACTCCACCTGGATCACCCATCTACGTTGACCTAGCTTACATTCCCAACCACTGCAGTGCTAAAAATGTCGATCAAGAGTTCTTCAAGCGAGTGCGAGCAGCATACTATGTCGTCAGTGGAAATGACCCAGGCAGTGGTGAACCCAGCCGTGCAGTTCTAGATGCACTCTTAGAAGGGAAAGCACAATGGGGCACTAATCTCCAGGTATGATTTGACTTTACACTAAAATTAAGTATATGGATGAGTTTGTATGTTTGTTGTAGTAATCCCCTAGAACAGGGGTTTTCAAACTGGGGTCTACTGTAGGGACACAAGGGGGTACTATGGAGTATGCAACAAAACAAAAAGTAATTTACAAGTGCACTCAATATATTAATTCAATCCTTGTTTAATGTAAGGATTGAAAACTCATGTCCTAAGGTCTTATTTGCAAGCAGAATACTGCACTTCATCTGACCATCTTCTTCTCATTTAGGTCACTTTAATACCAAAAAAAGTAATTTACAAGTGCACTCAATATATTAATTCAATCCTTGTTTAATGTAAGGATTGAAAACTCATGTCCTAAGGTCTTATTTGCAAGCAGAATACTGGACTTCATCTGACCATCTTCTTCTCATTTAGGTCACTTTAATACCAACACATGACACAGAGGTAACTCGGAACTGGTATCAGCAGACCCATGAGAAACAGCAGGACCTGAATATAATGGTCTTGGCCAGCAGCAGCACAGTGGTCATGCAGGATGAATCTTTCCAAGCCTGCAAAATAGAATTTTGAATTGATTTTCTATTTAGAGCTTTTCATTCGTTCCTCATTCATTTCTAATATTTTAGGTTTAGATGAGTTGCTTCACCCACAACCATCCATCCGCTGCCATTTATAGTTTGTATTCTAATCCACAAAAATGCAACAAAATCTTAGTGCTGTCAAAGGACTTTATTATATAAGCTTTGGTCCTGAATCTATTGTACATTTTTGATTGCATCTGCAAGGCTTTGGCAGAAAACTGAATGTTCACTAGCTAGCCGTTATGAAATAATAAATGTAATGTTCAAGTAGGCTAAAGCTGCAATGCAAATTTAGTTTTCTCATATTCTTTAACATAACATAGAGACCAAGTTTTTATCCTGCCTGTAATTTGAATTCAAAGCACAAAAAAGCCCTCTGTGAATTGGTTAATACATCATCTGATTCATGTTCTGCATCCATTATCATCAATTTTAACACACGTACCACATATAGACACAGTTGTCCAGCAGAACATACTCTAAACATAAGGTCACAAAGCCTTAGAGCAAACAACCTCTGAGAACAGACTCAAAAAATTTCAGAGTAGCTGTCTTGTGAGCTACGGTTACAATGAGGCTAGATGCAGTCTCTCCATGAGATCACACCAGCAGATAGAGTGAAGAAAGAAATAACTGTACTCTAAATTGCTAATCCAAAAAAGATCTGTGCCAAATCTCAATTCTTTCAAATGCCGATTTACAAAATCAAACATAATGGGTGACAAAAGATGGATCATTCTCTATTCAAACATCAAAGCAATCCAGCAGTTTTATCTCAATAATGTGATGAAGACTGTATATGTACATGCTTTTAAGAGTAAAGCAAAGTAGATGGCATCTTTATAAACTACTAACCCACTGATATGACATATTTTGGTTGACTAGGCTCTAATTTGATCATGTGATCAAGGTTATAGAAGACAAAAGGTTATAGAAAGAATAACAGTTTTGTGTTTTCTCAGTATTGCAATTACTGTACTAAAGCATGATGCTCTCTAGCTTGGACGAAACTTTGTAGGTATATTAATCTAGTGATCTGTTGTGGGGATCTGTTGGGGTCCAGATATCTTTTCCAAAGCGGACTAATAACGAGCAGCTTAAATACCATCTGCCCATAAATTGAGTAGACCACTATTAGAGTCAGATGGAAATGGTATTTTATTGCCATTTACATGATGTTCTGTTGCTTGAGTGAAAATATGACTGAAATTTAAATGTGGCCACTTTAAGACCAACAATGCTAATAATGCTTCAAATAATCTGTTATATATTTTGGTGTAGAGGATTCAGACTTGTGACATACTGAATGTTTTGTTTGTGTGTTTCTGATATGCTTGACCTGATTTTTCCCCAAGGTGAGATTCTCTGACTCACAAGCACTTTAGGTTTAACTTGTTTGAAAGGAAACTGGTGGTGGAAATTACACTATATCAGAATGTAGCAGTAGAGACTTATCAATAGAATTGAATAGTTGTTGATGTGAGAGCAGACAGTGAGGGTTACCCTCGTGCCTTTTGCGTGTTGTTTGACAAAGAAAATGTTAAGTCATCACACACACACACACACACACACATACAACAATATGTGTACTAACAGATTTATTTTGGATTAACTAAAATTAGAAATTCTTTATAGCCTTACTTTAGGTTTACGCTAATAAAGTTTGAATTGACTGAGAAGTTTGAGTATTATAAAAGAGCAGGCATTAATGATTACATTATGTTGCACCAAGTATGATTGCACTTTTCTAAAATGAAGTCAGTTTGGTCGGTAGACTTCATGTGAATAAGTAATATTTTAATTTATTTGGGGAAAAAACAAATATAAAAATTTCAATTAAAATGACTAATCAACATTTGTTTTTTGGTCTGACGAAATGGTCAAGAACAACTTTAGCTAGTTATTATCTAAATTAAATTCTATGGAGGTCAGTTATTGAGAACACTTAAAATACTAGAACAGGAACAGTTTAAGATACATTTTTACTTTTGTTGCTAGTATCAGTACATTAATTGGCATTTTTATGGCTTATTTCTTTACAAATAGTAAAAATATGAATTCAACCTAGCCTGACGTTATATCAATTACAAAACAAGCTAACAATTAGTGTTTCTGTTTGCACTGAAGGTAAGAAAAACATTAGCAATCGGTCAATGGCTTTAGAATGCCTTTGGAACTGAAATGGTCTTGATTTGACAGTGGCTCAACATCTTCAGTTACATTGTGAACAGTATCCTCAATAGCAAACCATCAAGGCCTCACTGGTAAATGCACAATTGTTTTGTCCTTAAAGAACCTTTGCTTTCAAGACAGCAGTGCCATCATTCATACTGTTCCAAAACAAGTTCTGAAACACTGCATCCTTAACCCAAATCCAGTATATTCACAGTGAGTGGTTCGTTTTTAGTCTATCTTGATTTTTTTAAATGTAAAAGTTATTATGCATTGCAGCAGACTTAGTTTTGTGTTATTTGAATATAGATTTGCGTTCTCTCAGAGAAGTTGTCTTTGAGATGGCCAGAGTGACTGGGTCTTTGTGTACTTTTACTAGCTGAGAACACACAAGTTAGCAGTGGTGGTCAAAGCCTAAGAACTTATCTCTAGGGCCTCAAAAAGACAGTAGATAGATACAGAATTCTTCACAAAATCATACCCAATTCCAACGATGTACGCAAACCCACACTGAGACCAAATTCTTGTATTTTTTGCTAGAAAGATTGTTAAAATGGGCTGAATCTGTACTGTAGCCTACATCATGTGGTGTGGATATATTTTCATATTTGAAAACGTGAGTGTTTTATTTCAAATACCTGGCCTTAGTAACAAGTACTATATGGTTTTATTGTGATTTCTTTACACAAAATTAGCTTTGTGATAAAGATAAATGCACTAACTTTAAATCATATTTTTGAATGTAAAAGTTGCTTCGCTGGATGCTGCTTGAACAAAACAAAGAACTAGCAAAATATGCACATGGAACAGTAAACCTCAGAAAATGGGTCACCGAAAGAACTGGCTAAGATCGTGAGTGACTCATGACAAAATATTACATATTCAGCTGTTGCTGATTTTAGTACAGATACATGACTCTCCTGAAAATAAGATTTAGAACCTTTGGTTTGCAGATGGCTGTTTCACAACTACCACACTGCGAATGGAATACACTATAGATAGATCCTTTACAATGAAAAAAAGCCAAAATAGAAATCAAAACAAATGGTATAACCTGTACATAAATCAAAATAGCTGACGTGGTCATTAATGTGAAATGCTTTCTTTTAAGAAAGTTCTATGGTCATTGTAATTCTACTTTCCTAAAGAAAAAAAAGACTGCTTAAAGTACCTCTATGAATCTCTATTAGTTCAATTTCATTCTACATCAAATGCATCATGACGTGATGGGTTCATTTGGCCATGTCATGTATACGTATCCATCTTTGCATGTGACCTTATTAGTTATACTCCTGAATGTAATTGTTTAATAATCAGAATTAAAACTATTTTAAGAAGGTATATTTGAAGCTAATTGTCTTTATGGTACTGGAATATGCATATATTATTGGGCTTGGCTTCTGTTTGCCCTAAGATGTTGTCGAGAAGATGCTGTGATATTTCCTCGTTCTTTGGCGCTGTATGAATCTTAATTCTCTTCTTCTTTAGTGCAATATTCAACATTCTGTCTTTAAAAGCTAAATGCAAAAGTAGATTTCTGCTGATTTACTGTAAAGGGAACCATCCTGGTGATCATCAATAAAAAACATCAAAATTTGGAAAACTCTTTCTGTGTGGGCCTCTTCATTGTTTAATTTTTTTATTTCATACACTTGTCAGACAGACTGTTGACCAAAATACATTATTTAAACTAAATCGCAGTGCGATGACATGGTTGATCTCAACTCAATAAATAAGCCAGATTAAAAACATATAGTGTTAATCTGACGTTCTGAAATACTTTATTCAGATTGGTCAATCGCAACAAAAGTGCTCTTCAACATTTAGCACTGTTGGTTCCAGAAGTATTTTTTCCATTTTTATAAAAGTCTTCCTTAAAACATTATAAGCCATGATTCAAACCAACCAGCTACGAGGTGAATCACAACATTACAATATGATTGTACAAATTGTACAAATATGATTGTAATCATATTTTAATTTAAAGTTGTTGATGAAAGTTGGAGCTTCTTTTGGCCCGATTTGCTGGCTATATATATATATTTAAATAATGCAGACAGGTGGCTTCAACAAAAGCATTTACCATTGATTAACAACATCAGAGCTCACAACATTTATAGGTTTATAACTTATCATTAAAAATCAATTTCCCTGTGAAGAAAATAAATGGTAACGCTCATTCAAGTCAACTTACCGGCGCTACTTTTGTGTCTCTCGTATCACTCCGAGCACTCGCATTTTTAGTACATTATTTAATTCTTATCTTGTTTATTACGTCTCAGTTATTGATTATATTGAAAATTACATCAGAGACTGATTATTGACTCTATTAATATTACTGTCATATTACAGTTTTCATCTTGTTACTAGACTGATCATTTTGTACATTGGACTGTTTTAGTTAGCGGAAGCTATAGGATAATAAAAGTAAAAAAAACATGAATTATATCAGTAACATAAGCTTTAAAGCTTTTAAAGTTTAAGCACTCCAAAATTAATATTTCTTTTTTTTTTAACCATCCGAGGACCGAATCTGAAGTGTTTTTCTTTTCCTGAGGAAATCTGTGTTACTGTCGATAGATGTTTGAACCCATTTGAACGGTTTCTCCTCCTTTCCTTTAACACTGACATTACCTCATGCTAATTTTGCGTCCACAGCAACCCACACATCTTCCAAAATCTTTTGGCAGGAGCTAAAGTGGTTGTTAGCCTCTTACACCGGCACCGGCCGATGACACACTTCTTAATCCGCCAGCTCACCGTCGCGGATAACTGGCCTCTTGGTTGCTATGACGATTTTATATTACCAGCAGGCGAGATTTTAGGGCAGAGAGAGGTAGGAGCAGTTTATGATATTGTCTTTTCAATTTGATTAATGGTCTCGTAACCTGTCAGAATTTATATCGCACATAAATTGTGAAATTAATTATGCAGCTACTATGCAATTCAAACTAGGCTAAGAGAATATGCACAATATCATTCACTTCAAAGACCCGATTCTGTATTATATTTCACGATTTCACTCCATCAGGCCCCTGTGGGAAAATATCCGCTGGACGTGTGGCATATTTGTCCACACATGAATGAAAATGAGCTAACAGAGCACAGTATGCAGAGGCGTAGCTATGGGGCCCCGCATTTTAAGGGGGCCCCCGATGGCCGACAATTTAAACCAACGGGAATGTTAATATTAATAACTATAACACGCAGCGACATCTCTCCATCCCCCACTCTCTCGGTACACTGGTTATGCTTTTGCCTCCTCGGCCGCCTTTTTCAAACAAGTGCAGCGCGTCCTCGCGGTGCTGTAGATTAGAAAATGCATGATCTGATTTTTAATCCATTCCTATGGAAAGTTGAGCTTGCGCAATTTAGGAATGAACTGAAAAAAGTTCGCGCGCACACACATAAACAACGGTAAGCATAGGCACCAATTTATGTTTCTGCCCACACTCTATTCCACTCCAAACCAAATATAAAACATTTTATTCATCAGTTTTCATGAGCAAATGATAACGGGCTAGCTTGTCATGCAACAACTGTGCCTTAAAGGGGTGGTTCACTGATTTTTTTCTAGGCTTGATTGTGTTTATGGGGTGCAGTCTAACATATGGAAGCCCGTTTCCGCCACTGAATAAAAAATATATAATTCTGTAAGTCATAATAATGAGAAACTTTCTCAAAATTATGACTTAGTATCTCGTTATAATGAGAAACTTTCTTGAAATAATGACTTGGTTTCTCGTACTAATGATTTAACCTAATCCAAAAAAAAAAAGAAAGACTTAACGCAACGCAAGAGTGACAGCACGCTAGCGCCATCTGTTGGTCAAAGCCATGCAGGAACACCGCTAACATTGCATGTGATGCATGAAAGGGACAGCTAATAAAACTAATAAATCATCGAAATACACATCTATAAATTAAGTTTATATGTGTAATGGCTTTCATTTCTTCATAAAATGCCTGGATTTCTTAACTGAAATATTGGTCTGGAATGTTTGAAGCCATAACTATCTGGCAGAGTAACTATTACACAAAAGATTACGTACAGATAATTTATCTGAAATCGTTATTTAATGACAGACTATAGC